GAGAGAGAGAGAGAGAGAGAGAGAGAGAGAGAGAGAGAGAGAGAGAGAGAGAGAGAGAGAGAGAGAGAGAGAAAAGTGTTGAGGATGATGGGATTTTTTAAATCAGTACAATAGTGATTTTAAGAGTATTTGGACAATAAAGTTTTACCGGTGCAGCATAAACAGCAATCTACAACATCCTGCTAATCCTCCTGACACAATTACTGGTGCTACTGAGTGATTTGCTTTAATTACAGATAATAAACTATGAGATAAGTGTAGTTTCTTCTCACTTCTTCATCTCTGACTTTCTCCTTCCTCTGCTTGTGATCCTCACATTTATTCTACCATCACATATGAAAACACATGGATACAGAAAACCTGCTATTGAGTGTTTATGAGTGCTGATTCTTCAACTAAATTATTTTCTAATTATTGTATTTGTTGTATCATAAAACTATTACTTGTTTCAAGGTAAACATTAGCTCTATGTCCAACCAGTTGAAGCTCATTCTGAGAAGACAGTTGTCATGTATTTATTTCAGATAACAGCTGCTTCTGTTATAAACAGGGATGTAAAATGCATCACTTCCTGTGTGCCAGATTATTTTTCCTAGGAAAGACCAACCAGACAGTTTCATGGACAGAGACTGAGTCCAGCAAAACTAACACCAAATTTAACTGAGATAACCAGTGTAAAACGTGCTTAGTTTAGGATTAATTTATTAAACTATGTTCCAATTATCTCACACCATGTTGGTCCAACTAGACTCTTCTATCATATAAAGATAGATGTGGAGCAAGACTTAATTGTATTCATAGTATGTGAAAACTCTAAATGCATTTGTACCAACATTTTTGCACTTGCCATGACCAAATACTTTGTCAGGTTGAAGAAAATACTTTAGTTTCCAACTAAAGCTTGTCTTTCTCTTTCATTACATTACATTACATTACATTACATTACAATCATTTAGCAGACGCTTTTATCTAAAGCGACTTTCAATTCAGAATCTATCACCCCGTAGGCACAGCTACGGGAGCAATTCTTTCCTATTCCTGTGTAGCTCCTCACTGTCAATTATAAAATAAAAAACTGAATCTGTGTTTCAGTAAATTACTCAGACCATAAAGAAAGAAAGAAAGAAAGAAAGAGGATAGTTCCCTCTCCATCACTTCCTCTGGTTAGAGGCATTGTTTCAAACACAAATAAAACAACAACAGGAAATGCTGCAGCTCTCTCCCCCCCCTGAGTGTAAATGCTGTGTGTGTTTGTGTTGAGATCACTGACCTGTCCGGCTGTGTCACAGAGTTGTAGTTTGACTGGCTGACCGTCCACTGATACCACCGCTACACACACACACACACACACACACACACACAGTGTAGACAGAGTAGTTTAGATATAGTTTAGATATTCAACGAAAAAAAACATATGGCCGATTCCTTTCTTACAACAATCACAATCTGATGACACCAGCTGGTCACTATTCAACTTCTTAAAAGTGAATACAGTAAAGGGCTGATTAGTCAATAAACTGATATTTCTATATTTCTATATTCTATTTGGTAACTGCACATCTGCTTAAGTCGTTAAAAAATTAAAATATCAAAACAATTTCCAGTCACAACTTCAAAGTGGTTGAAATACACTATTAAACTCACTTGCACTGAAATGTAAATTATATTTGATTTTACATATTGAAAGATGAAACAATTAAATAAATGTATTGCTGGTCCACAAATAAAGTGTCTATAGCTGTAAAATGTATTTATTGTGTTTAGAAAGGACCATGTATCTACAAAAGTCACCGTTTGATACCACATTGTATCTAAACTAATTCGCATCTGTAGTCCCTTGGCTGGTCAAAACAAAGAGAACACAATACAAAAAGTAGAGAAATATACAAGCCAGAACACCCTGTTACCTGAGAAGTTGTCAAACGCCGTTGGGATGTACTCAGTGGGATACCCGTTGGTGGTGTAGCTCACCACCAGGCTGGTTTTCCCCACAGCTCCGTCTCCCACCAGCACGCACTTCACGCGCCTCTCCGCCGCCCCGGCTCCGGACCGCCGCGTCCTCCCGGAGCCCCTGACCCTCCTCGGTGGGACAGGAGGGGCAGGGGACACCGGTGCCGACTTGTAGCCTCCGTCGCCCCGCAGAGGCATCTGGCACGGAGAGGAGGGTGACATGTAGCCTGAGGAGACCCGGGCAGGAGGTTCAGTCCCGGCTCGGGACAGTTTTCACATCGTCCATTCTTCCGTTACTATCTGCCGGGTTACTGACTTTTTAGTTGTCGCTGCTGTCCGCTTCCTTTTAGTTTCCATCGTTAAATCACAGAAAAGTTTGAACTTCTACTCTGTCCCAAAACTGACTATGTGTCCATTTCAAGCTTCATGGTTGATTTTAATGAAATCAAGTTAAAAAGAGAGGAGATTCAATTAACGTTGGCCGTTTCTTACAGCCTGTGTCCGTTCTGTCGTCCAACAGACAGACCCGTCCCAAACTCCCCTTCAAATGACATCACACTGTGTGTGTGTGTGTGTGTGTGTGTGTGTGTGAGAGAGAGAGAGAGAGAGAGAGAGAGAGAGAGAGAGAGAGAGACAGAGAGACAGAGAGACAGACGATAATAACAATAATAATAATAATAATATTAATAATAATAATAATAATAATTTAAGCCTTATCTGCAATACAAAAATTTAGCTGTCAGATAAATTAAGTGGAGCGCAATATGTCCTTCTGTGGTGCAGTGGAAAGTATCTTAATATGGAAATATTCAATTCAAAATACAAATCACTCAAAGGGCAACTTGAGTACAGTAAAGTGTACTTACTTTCCGCCGCTGCTATCGAACTGAGCTCTTCTAATCTCCAACAAAGTAAGATTGATTTTGATTTGACTCCTTGTCAAACTGTTTAACAGACTACTGACAGGACATCAGCGCTATCTAGTGGACAGGGTGGAAAATAAACACAGAATAATAAAACCTTCAGAAGGACACTGGACGACATGGGAATATGTTACCTACAGGGAATGAACACTGATTGTCTGATGTCAGCTGACCTCATTTTGTTCTACATCTGTGCGATTAATTGAAAATGATATTTAAAAAATAAAAGTTATCTAAAAAACGCATTAAAAAAAACATGATACCATTTTATGTGTCTGAGTTGCAGGTAAGCTACTAAATACCCTGTTTCCCTGTTACCCACATATGTAAATCTCTCTGTTATTTCTATTGTATATATTGTGCATTATATTTAATATTTTTTATTCTGTTATTTGCATTGTTTACCTGTACCATGCTGTAGCGAAACAATGTCCCCTTGCGGGATTTAATAAAGTATCTATCTATCTATCTATCTATCTATCTATCTATCTATCTATCTATCTATCTATCTATCTATCTATCTTTAGAGTATAAACTGCTTGCGGAACGAAACACCGTATGGCCAGTGTTTCCTTACGGACCCTTTTCGAAACTGCACTTACATCTCATGTGTTGTGTTGTGGGAGTTTGGCACAGTTTCTCTTGGATAGTTATTTATCTTTCCATATTCCTGTGACATACCGATAAACTCCTCCGTTATGTCCGGTGGTCCCAGCCTTCCCTCGGCGGAGGTAGATCTGGGCTTCCTGGAGGAGGCGGAGCCGTGGCGGCTTCTGTCCCCGCAGTTCCCCAGTAAAGTCGGGGGGAAACCGGCGTGGCTCAGCCAGACAGGCCCGCCCTCACTGCCCGGGCTGGAGTGCGAGATATGCCGCCTGCCTATGGCCTTCCTGCTGCAGGTTAGTGTCCCGGAGGAGGGAGGCAGACAGCGGCTTAAGCTGCACTCTAGACAGTGATAATGTCACCCAGAGAGAGAAACACTGCTGGACAGTATGTGGAATATATATATATATATATATATATATATATATATATATATATTTATTATTTCTTGTTCTCAGCTGAACCTTTTCTGCTGAGTCTGAATTGTCTTCTCTATTATTTCTTGTTTAAAACAGTACAATCAATACCAAGCACCATAGTAAACTATTTTAACCTTATATACCTAGTACAATTTCTCAGGGACTTTTGTACAAATGTGAAAATCCACGTAGGAGCAGAGAAATCATAAATATAATACAAGGCATATATAGACACATATATAGAGGTAACCTATTCTACTCACCTTTATCCCTGCCAAGTAGTTAACTTCCATAAATCATTCATTATACAACTAGATACAGTACTAAGTTACCCTCTCCATCTTCTATGCAGGTCTACGCACCCATTTCTGGTCAGGACAGAAGTTTCCACAGAACGCTCTTTCTGTTCTGCTGTAAGACTCGTGAGTGCTACACATGCAACGACAGCCGCTGTGTGAAAGGTAACCTGTAACCATCAATGTTCCTTTAATGTTTGTCATTCCTCGTGTTTGTTGTCACATGGTAACAGCACTCTTTAGTCTTTTGCTTTGCTTATTCTCCACACTTCCCCACGTCCTCTCCTCTCCACACTCATGTCTTTTTGTTTTTAAGAGTAAATATCATTTTGTTAAAAGTTTTCTGACAGCTTGTGTTCTCTCGTTTCCTTTTAGTTTTCAGGTGCCAGCTGCCTCGGAGGAATGAGTTCTACCCCTACGATCCTCCAGCAGGTTGGTGTATTTTGCCAGGATGTCAGTAAAAGTACAATTCTTTGTCATATAATAAGGCACAGTTGAGTTAAGAGGTTTCATTTATCAATACTTATACTATATTTAATGATTTCCAGGGGATCTTTTTTCAATGTTAATTTTCATTCATAATGTATTTCAACAGTGACTTGGCTTCGCTATGACGCATTCATCTGTCTTTTCCTCAGAGGATGAACCCCCCAGCGATCCTGAACGGGACCAGAGTGTTTTGTCCGTCCCTGGAATTAAACTATGCTGGGTGTGCGGTTGTCCCGGCAGCAAAGCCTGCTCCCGCTGTCACACTGTAAGCTACTGTGGAAAACACCACCAGACCCTCCACTGGAAGCACACACACAAGAGGGAGTGTTGCAGTCAAGGTGTGTGTCCATTTGTATTGATAGTGTGTATTTCTGAGCAGTTTCGTTTCTGTCAATTCCTGCTCGAGGAAGACTTAATGTCTCTGCCGTGTCTTTGTCCGTCTATATAGAAGCGTCCGTTGTCACAACTTCAACCTTCCTCTTCCCTGAGTCTGAGCTGGTCATTGAACCTGAGGAGGAGAAAGACACAAAGGACACTGAAGAAGAAGAAGAAGAAGAAGAGAAAGGGATTGAAGATTGTCCCTCCTTAGCAGACGGTAACTCTTTAATTATTTCTTATAACAATATTGGTCACATGAAGTAATTAAGAGACATAATTTGTCCCTTCTCTTCTGACTGACTGTTCTCTGTTCAGCCCTGGCAGAGACGGACCTGGAGGAGATGGCTTTGCACGAGACTGAAGACAACAAAGTGTTCCAGCGGTTTAAAAAGAGGATTGCACCAGAACCACACCAGGTTAGCTAAAAACTCACACGGAAACGACGTCAATGAAGACGATCAAGTCGAGTCCCTCCTCACACTGACCGTGTTAAGTTAGAAACATCTGATACAGTTTCCTTCTGTGTGCATCTCACGGTGTTTTGTTCATGTTCAGGTGGTGCGTTACAGTCGAGGGGGCTCCCCCTTGTGGGTCTCTTCTCAGCACATCCCTTCAGATCAGGATATCCCAGCATGCACCTGTGGTGCCAAGAGGACTTTTGAGTTTCAGGTAGTCCCTTCTTCTTTTTCCCTGGTTTTCCTTCTTACTCACTAGTCTTGAATGCCAGCAAGCTGTTATTCTGTGACAAGTATATGAAGTTGTGTGTGTGTGTGTGTGTGTGTGCACGTTGGTGATAAACGAGCCAAGTTAAGGTTTACTTAAACCTGTGTGTGTGTGTCTTCAGGTGATGCCACAGCTGTTGAACAGTCTGTGTGTGGACTCGACAGGAGCCAGTATCGACTGGGGGACACTAGCTGTCTATACGTGCTCTGCCAGCTGTAACCATGAGGACCAGTACTGCTCCGAGTTCATCTGGAAACAGGACTTCAGCTCAGATCACAGATGAAACCCACATAATATCTTCCTGCTGCTGGACAGAGTTCAGGTCACACTGATGCACGTGAACAGCTCAGCAGACACTGGTTTTCACAATTGTAGTGAAGTCACTCACCAGTTAGTAGACTGGACACATGCTGCTGCTCGTCTAACGGATGATACACAGGCCAAATTAAAATCAGTGTGTAGTTAAGCTGACCGAGAGAGGAAGTTAATCTATTAAAGGACAATGAAGATGTTTTGGAGGGCAGACATTCACCATCTGTATTAATTGTTCTATTAAGTTGAAACAGGAATTCTAGTTCTGGTTTCTCACCACTTACAAATATTTACTTTTAAGTCTGTCTGTTAAGAACAATGTTTGAGTGGTATTTCTGACCCGTGTGGTGAGTGGGTTACGTCCATTTTCAGTGCTACATACCATTTATATAGTAGGTCTATTGAAGCAGATGGTCATCAGGACAAATACAATATCACCATGTGCCTGGACAAGTTCATCTGCTTTACAGCATTTTTCTGAGAGTTTGAGACAGAAAATGTACCGTTAAAATATCTAAATACAACCTGTCAATTATATCTTCACATTTAATCTCATTGGTCACAGTGAGTGTAACAAAGTTTAGTTATAAGGCTCTATAAATGTTACTGAATATCAATACCTTTCCAGCAAATACTGAAATAAAGGGTCTCAATGCAATATGTGCAGTGTCGCAAGTCTAAATTGTCACATGACCTGAGCCGTTGACTTCCTGGTTGCACCATGAGAAGAGGAAGGCTGCATCAAAGCTCCCAAACAAAAGTTAATAAAGTATGTGAATAAGGTGAAGAGTATTGATAGATGCAATTACTTAACCTTGTTCAGTGTGGTCATGGAACGAGCGAACATGTAACGGCAACACATCACGTAGCAGCAACTCAATGTATTTAGGCCGGGCATGTAAACATGGTCGAGACGATCAGAATAGTGAAGAAAGGTGATTTAAGGTTGTTGGTGCCAAGGTTACAGAAAATGATCCAAAAAAATAATATCCAGCAAGCTGCAGTTCTGTAATTGTACAAATCTTTTGTTTAAGTCATCTGTGCATAGCTGATGTTCACTGGATTAACTTTTGACATTGAACCTGAAAACTGTTGATATTGATTTTTTTGGATTCTGGTAAAATGTAAAGCCTGCGTTTAGTCCAGGACCAACACAATTACTGTAGAAATATTGCATTATCTTAGAAAAATCATACCAGTATAAAAGACTTAAACCTTACAATATGTGAAGAGGTGCTCTCGCACACTTCTTAGGACAGCAAACATCTCAGTGGACAACAAATATACCATTTCTAAATACAACAGCACCAAAAGTTCAGTGTAGTAAAAGAAGCAGATTTAACAGCCTGTATGTACACATTTATTAATGCGCAGCACATCAACAATTTCAGAAGAACAATTGCTTTGAAATGAGTGACGGGGCTTCCTGGTCTCCTGCTGAACTCCAGAGTCACAGAGGAAAGTATTGATTAATCCCCGTCCTCTTCTGCTGCCCAGACAGACGTCGGGGTGGAAGACACACAGATGGTGAAGCTGACCGTTGCCACAACCAGCTCACCATAAAGTGCCAAAAATCTTGTGGCTGAGCACACAGTATGGACGACCAGGACAGAGTCACATTTTCCTTGGCACAAAAATAATTCTTCAAAAGAAAATTTAAATATGAATGGGCAAAAAATTTAAACAATACATAAGCATGGCAACAGAATGCTTAGTTTATCAGACATCTTTTAGTGCTCCTGAATATAAGATGCAAGAGGTTAGGATAAGTAAAAGAAGAGGACGTCTACTTTAAAATCAACGGCGTCTTCTTCATGTTCTGGTTGATTTATGAGTACAAATATAGTCCAAACCCAGTGACACAAATGTCAAAGAACTTGATGACAACTTAAGTAGCAGGACATGGATCAATTTAGTTTAACTTCTGTTTAAGAGCATCCACCTTCAGTTACAGATTAACAGACTAGACAGTATTTCACATGTCAAAATGTTTGAATTTAGAGGGGAATCCACTTCAAGCATTCATGTAGTCAGGATGAAGCTGAATCAAGATCAGATAGATTTAAATGTAAAAGACATGAAGATCAAACTCGCAAAAAGGTTTGAGATAAACAGTCACTCAAACTAAAATCTTAAAAATACTGTTAAGAGGAATGTGGGGCCGACAGACCCGAACACGTCTTGTTATAATTTGGGGACTGAGTGGGCAATTTATAAAAATGCAACGTACAAAACTATTTAAAATGGCTTCAAATAAAAGCAGTCTGAGTCAGACTGTTTCTCTTCTAATCAGCACTTTTTACATTTCTTTACAGTCTTATGTACAATCAGGGATGTGAACAGCACAACAGAAAAAGCTAAAAATAACTGGGTTTAAAATACACGGAGAGGTCTGTGTGAAGAAGATGCCGTTGCTTGTGATCAAAACATGGCAAGAAAAAAAGAACCTGTAAAAATCCTGTTACTCAAAAAATCTAGGGGGACAAAAAAATAAATAAAAAATAGAGGACTCGCATCCCTGTACAACAGTCCATCTGTAGAGGTCAACATATAGATGATTCTTGTGAATTTATAAAAAAAAAAAATTAAAAAAAAAAAAAGAGTCGGTGATGAAGGTGAAAGAAGGAGCGGCGGGTTCTACGTCGTCTTGCGGAAGCCTTTCAGGATGGGATAGATGTTTTCAAACGCTTCGTAGATCTCTCCTCTCACCTTGGCACCTTTAAAAACAAAACCAACACATTAAAACAACGAGTTACACCGGCAGAGCCAAAAAACACAGACAGAAGAAATCATGATAAGCATCAAACACCATGTTCCAGATTATCTTTTCCATTTATAATGAAAAGTTCTTTTGTAAGTTTTTGGGAATCCGATTATATATTTTTTAATAGGTTGGCAGATACATCATCTTTTAACATATTTACTTATGTTTAACTCTAAAATAGTGATTTCAGTATACTAGTAAAGCCCTATATGTTTGTATATAACTGACAGTATGCAGTACTATACCCATCAGCAGTGAGGATGAGGTCTTACCTGTGAGTACAACTTTCCCAGAGACAAAGATGAGCAGGACAATTCTAGGTTTGATCATTCTGTAAATCAGTCCTGGAAACAGCTCCGGTTCATAGCTGAAACAGATAAATCATTTTATAATAATCATTACAAGTATTACCTTAAAATAAATCCATTCTGTCCTACACGTCGACGAGAATAAACCCCATCTCGCCTTTCCTTCGGTGGCACAACTGTGACATTCTCACAACGCAGCCATCATGGGCTGGTGCTTTCAAAGAAGCAAAAATGAATGATTTTTAGCTGCATCAGACAATAGAACAAACAGAACATACCTGCTAAACTGCTGATGTGTGAGGACTAATCCTTCCAGACGAATGGGGAACTTCACATCGCAGCTTCCCACCATGTTCTGAATCTTGAAGTCCAGGAACTTTGCAGGAAAACCGAGCTTCTGCACCACACGAGCGTATTTTCTGGCAGCTAACCTCGACTGCTCCTCACTAAAGACAGAAGCGAGGCGGATCATATGGAAAAGAACAAAATTAGTATTCAAGAGAGGAGAGGAGATACAAGGCATGGGGGTAGAGTACATTGTATTCAAAGACAGGGCAAGGCTTATTATGATATTCAGCAAATAGCCAGTATGGTGACCTCTTGGCTCCAGTGCAGACCATCTTCCCAGAGCTGAAGATGAGAGCGGTGGTCCTGGGCTCTCGTATTCTCATGATGACCGCAGCAAAACGCTACAAACAACAGAGAGAGCGCGAATTACAGCCAGCAGTGCTTCCACATAAATGTAGTTGTGTGGGATGTTGAGCATAAATATATCAAGTAGGGTGCGGCGATAATTCCTTATGATAATTCATCTTTCAATGGAATCATATCGTGATAAAGTCGTATATCAAGATATCATTATACACGATAACAAGCACATTCTTACTTTTTTATTGTGATTTCTGATTATAAAACCATGTGATTATTTCATATGGTCAAAATGTGTGCCATGAAAAAAGTAAATAAAGACGAATAAACCAAACAAATAAACCAACAGGCAAGTTGACCTGCACTGCAGTCTCACCTTTGGGTTGTACTCTGCATTCCTGGCTCTCAGGGCAATGGTCTTCAAGTCCAGCTTACAGCCCAGATTTACAGTCGATACTATGTTTCTAAAAGTAGAGTAAAAAGAAAAGAACTGAGTAAAGACATAAGAAAACTGTTCAGTCAGGAACTCAGACACAAGTTTGAGGAAATAATGGCAATGTAGTTAACTTTGGTAGTGGAAAAAAAAAAAAAAAAAAAAAAAAAGATACCCTCTCTGAAATGTCAGCGATATTCATGTTTTGGGTCTCAATAAATTGTAATTCACAGTGAGCACAATGACATAACATAAAGGTAAAAGTGTGTGTATTAGCTAGAATATTACAAAGTGTGATAGAGGAACTGATACTCTGACCATTCTCTCCATTGGATATGAAACGTACTGTAGTTGTGGTACTATTCCAGAGCTCTCCGAGGCTGGTGTGGACGGTGTGACGGGGGTCATGGGGGTCAACGGCGTGCTGTAGAGCGGGGTGTTTCCTGGCAGCGCTGTGGTGGTCGAGCCTGCAACCGCCTGGGAATGATAAAGCTGAGGGGTCTGCCCCGACGTTCCAGGAAGGCCTGGAGAACAAAGAACGTATTCTTCTACAACATGAACCAATAATAAACTTCCACTACGGTTCTGTGTTTCCCAGAACAAAGGAGGACACCATGATCTTACTAGGCTTAGAGAGGGTGGAGAGGATTGTGGCAGTAGTGAGTGTTGTACCTGCGTTTGCCTGCTGTGCCTGTTGCTGCTGTTGTTGCCTCTGCTGTTCCTCCAGTATAGACAAACTATTGGTGTTCTGGACGGGCTGGGGGGTCAGGCCTGAGCCATATGGCATCATGGGACTGAATATCGACATGCCTGGAGTCATGGCACCCTGCACAAATTACACAACACCAACAAAAAAAACACATGCATTTGGGATTGAGCAGGAAAGCCACATTAGAAGCTAATTATACTGACAAATCATACTGCAAAGAAAATGTCCATTGTCACAATATTTTTCACTTTGCCTCACTTATTTAGATACATATTGTATTTATGTTAATATCACTGGTTTATGGGTTGATTTTGTAGGCTGCACGGCTATGTTCCCTGTGGAAGTAACAGAAGTACTCTGACCTTAAATTGAGTGTAGACTTAAAACCTATTTCTAAATCATTGTAGCCACATGTTTGAGTTTGCTTGCCATTTTAAAATATCCCATGAAATGAATTGCCAATACCAGAAATAGATTTTAGTCAGGGTGCAAGCATCTGCTGCAAGCTGTGAGCAATGCTGCATCTCGTAAACTTGAAAGGTGTGGAGCTATGCTGTGGTTGTTTGCAGCACCCAATTGTCGCTCACCTCGTGGACTTAATCTCACTCCTGTATGTGACATTATACGCTGGGTCTACAGCGGCTATGTGAGAATCACACTGAAACCTGCAGGATGGGAGCTGATGTCTTCCAGCTGGTAACTTGATGTATAAACCAGAAAATACTTGAAACCAGTGTTACCTGAGGAGAGGCCTGCCCCTGGAAGGGAGGTACACTGTTGTTCTGGTCCATCTCTTCAGCTCCTTGTGTTAGTTCACTGCCACCCAAAAGCAGGAAGTAACTTCACACAGCAGGTGCCTCAAAGCTGTGCCTGTAGAGTCTATAATACAGTAGAAAAGCACCAACGACCACAGTGGACGACTGCAGAAACGCCCTCTTCTCGTCTCCCTGACAGCTATGTTGTGCCTGAAAAGTCAGACAGAACCAGAATGTACTCAGACAAACAATTGATACCTATTAATTACCATAGCACCGTGCATCAGCAAAGTTGAGCGAAGAACTTGCAAATGACCTGAGGCCACATTTGTGCAGCACCACCGGTGGCGCCAACGCACTCACTGCTGGCTAAACATCACATTTAGCTTTAATTCACGTAACTTTAGCTCGTTCATTCATTCATTCATTCAGGGCCCAAATGCATTATGCGCCATTTATATGATAGCGTGTGCAAAATGCTGGTGACATTTCTATCTACACCCGAGAAACGTTCGTCTTCCAGCAGGATGTCTAGACAGCCTCCTAAATGGAACATATCAACACAGTGGCTAGCTGAAGTTAGCTGCAGAGCTAAGATTAGCAATACTAGCTAACATCTACTCGAACGTAACGTACAGTGACGTTGTGTGTTAAAATAGTTGTAAATAACGTTGACATTTGCCAGTGCACCACAGTTAATTGCTCGCCAACTTACACTCACACTCTTGCAGTTCAGACCAGCACAGGGACGGAGTTAATGCAGCTTCAGGTTTGTTTGATCCTCGCTCTTGTGCTTCGGCGCTCACGAGCGTCTTCGACTAACTACTTCCGGAAGAAGAAGCTTTAACTTCCGGCGTGTCACAGTTCAACGCAGTTAGAGCAAAGATGGCGTCGCTGAGTGACAAATCAGTTTGGGACGAGGTGGAAGATGGAATCGGCGAAGAAGTGTTAAAAATGTCCACAGATGAGATAGTTCAGCGGACTCGTCTCCTCGACAGCGAGATAAAGATAATGAAGAGCGAAGTGCTGCGGGTGACTCACGAGCTGCAGGCCATGAAGGATAAAATCAAAGAAAACACGGAGAAGATAAAAGTGAACAAAACTCTGCCGTACCTTGTGTCTAATGTGATCGAGCTGCTGGACGTGGACCCCAACGACCAGGAAGAGGACGGGGCTAATGTGGACCTGGACTCTCAGAGGAAAGGAAAGTGTGCCGTCATTAAGACCTCCACTCGACAGACCTACTTCCTGCCCGTGATCGGGCTGGTGGACGCCGAGAAGCTGAAGCCCGGAGACCTGGTGGGTGTCAACAAGGACTCCTACCTGATCCTGGAGACCTTGCCCACCGAGTATGACTCCAGAGTCAAGGCCATGGAGGTGGATGAGCGCCCCACAGAGCAGTACAGCGACATAGGAGGGCTGGACAAGCAGATCCAGGAGCTGGTGGAGGCCATCGTGCTGCCCATGAACCACAAGGAGAAGTTTGAAAACCTTGGCATCCAGCCACCCAAAGGAGTCCTGATGTACGGTCCACCTGGCACTGGGAAGACCCTCCTGGCCAGGGCCTGCGCCGCTCAGACCAAGGCCACTTTCCTGAAACTGGCCGGTCCACAGCTGGTCCAGATGTTTATAGGAGATGGAGCCAAGCTGGTGAGAGATGCCTTCGCTCTGGCCAAAGAGAAAGCCCCATCCATCATCTTCATCGATGAGCTGGACGCCATCGGGACCAAGAGGTTTGACAGCGAGAAGGCCGGAGACCGAGAGGTGCAGAGGACCATGCTGGAGCTGCTCAACCAGCTGGACGGATTTCAGCCCAACATGCAGGTCAAGGTAAAGATGCTGCCACCAAAAGAACCTGTTGCATCATCTCATGTTTATTTACATCGTCATTCTTGAGTCTATCAGACGTTATTTTTCATTCACGGCATCATTTTGGGAGATATCGGACATAGTGATTGCTCTGGTTAGTGTTTAATTCAGACGACAAAATTGTGTCAACATTTAATTATGAAATATAGGCACACAGTACAGCACACAATACATCTTTTCACAAACTTGCACATCAGAAAGTGTAATTAATGTACAAACAAGCTCCAAAAAACTAAGTAAAAAAGTTTGTTCTACTTGGAAAGAAGTTAAGCACCAACTTTTTTTAATGTCTGTCTTTTTAGTCACCACTGTGGCGTTACGTTACAGTATGATGACTACAGTATAACTACATCCATTTTTATTTTCTAGGTGATTGCTGCCACCAACAGAGTGGACATCTTGGACCCTGCGCTGCTCCGTTCAGGTCGTCTGGACAGAAAGATTGAGTTCCCCATGCCAAATGAGGAGGCCAGAGCTCGCATCATGCAGATCCACTCCCGCAAGATGAACGTCAGCCCTGATGTCAACTACGAGGAGCTGGCTCGCTGCACCGACGACTTCAACGGAGCCCAGTGCAAAGCTGTGTGCGTGGAGGCCGGCATGATTGCGCTGCGCCGTGGGGCCACAGAGCTGAACCATGAAGATTACATGGAGGGAATCCTGGAGGTCCAGGCCAAGAAGAAGGCCAACCTTCAGTACTACGCCTGATGACACTGTCTGTGTTTGTTTGTGAGGGAGTCTTTGCTTATTAAAACAGTTGTTGGGTAAACACTTGTTACAGTTGCTGATTGACTTGGATTAATAAAAATAAATAAAATGTCAATAAGTGTTGTCTCTTCCTGCTGAGCATTTATAGGACAGTCTTTGTTTTCATTCTGAAGAATAATGGCACCGATGTGAAATTAATAATCAGATACGGGCAGTCTTTATTGGTCTGGAGCTTGTATTTGTTGTTATTTAGAAAAACATGAAGCTTTTTAAAAAAAGCTAAAAGCTAATTTTCATCCACAGTCTTCGTTCCATTCAAGTGGGTCAGTTCCACGGTCCTGCTACCATACCTATATTACATACTAATCATTGCACACTGTTTTAGCAGTTACACAGAAATAGAAACCTTTACCATTTTATATCAACAGGACATGACACAATAGGAGGGAGGTGAAATGTAGATCAAACTGCAGCTTTGAAAAAACAATTAGACTTCACAAGGATACATCAAAAATATTTTTCCTGGGATTTAATACCTGTGTTCTGTTTCCAAGATTTTTATTTGGAGTTGTTTCAGCACCACCTAAAATGTATTAACACTGCATGTTTCAGTTTTGAGCAGCTCCCCCTTACGCATTGCATTGTGGGAGAATAGTACCATCAACGGCACACTCAAAAATGTAAAGTATTTAGTATACGTTGTCTGCTTTGAGTATACTTTGTCAACATCTAGTATTAATACAGCACATACTAAAAAATGGCATAGAACCCATATCTAGTCTGGATTCAGGACTTTTATCTTCTTTTGTTTGACTTGTCTTAGCAGGAAATGCACAGATTCATTCCACTAATGACAGCTTATCTTCAGCAAGTACCCCAGGAACTCATTCCAGTGAGCCCACTTGCACAATAGCAGAGCAATACTGTACACCAGGTAAGTTTAGTGAGATAACCTGCTGTAACATGTGGTAATAACCAAATATACCTGAACATCTGGGGATGTGCGGGAATGGATGAATGTAAATCAATGGTCCACAATCCCGGTTCAGGGGCGGTTGTATGCAAACAGGTGGTTTATTGTTAATTTAAATCAGCTGGTACTTCAGCTCACAAGACCACCAGAGAACAATTCAGTTTGGCAATTTCTTCCTAAGGACTAGAACAATGTGTAAAAGAGTCCTCAAAATTGATAAAAACTATGAAACCAATAGAGACAAACTAGTACTGGGTAAAAAGAAAGTTGAATGCCATAATTTCACTAAAAACTCATCTCTGACCAGGTTTAATTTGGCTGAAACACCGGAGAAGAGAGAAGATATTCTGAGGTTTCCACATCCTGCCGTAACTCCCCTGCTGCAGTTTGGGTTCACATCCACAGACAGTGATCGGTAGTAATTAAACCTCAGAAGCAACTAAGGGATAACATCATGAATCTTTTATTACATTTACTGTAAATGGTTAGTGCAAAGTTACTTCAATTTTATTTCTCACATGTGGTTAAAGTGTAAAAATAAACCATCTCACATAGAAATGTGGTCAGGGCCCTGAGCCTGGCAATATTTACTAACCTTACTTTATCAACTCTAGCCTATCATTCACTACACTGTAAAATAAAACGGAAGTATAACATATACCGTATGATAGAGCAGGTCAGTGTGGTGTTGCTGGGATGTTCATGGTGCATAAAAACTAACTCAGGAAACAATATCCTGAGCAAAGATTATCTTTCAAGAGGTACTTTAAAACTTCAATATGCCACAACGTCACATATTTAAGGGCAACAGTGTGAGTAGCATAAGCTACCCAAGATGGAGTATCCATGTGTGAAGGACATGCAATGAACAAGACCACCAACATTTTAAATTCTTTACATTTATTAAGAATGTAAAAAGAACAGCAGAGTATGTATCCTTCCAAAACATAATGAAAAATCCAAATAGAGGAAGAGTCTAGGCAGATTGAGTGAAGAGTCATTTGCTTCTTAAGAACAGGAGTGCTGATCTAGAATTAGGTTTCTGGACCACAAACACAAGGATGTAATAATAGCAGAAACTGAGAGCGATGACTGTGGAAAGCAGGAGAAACGTATGGATTTCAATTGATGTAAATTGTGAGTGGATATAAAAAATGGAAAATCCGCTTCCCAGAATAAGCCTGATTTAAGAGGCCACTAGAAGCAAATTCTGGATCAAAATTCCTATTTTAAGAAACTTGTTGTTAAGGGGCAAAAACCAACAGGTGAATGTGGAAAGAACAGACCAAAGAGAAAAGCAGAGAAAGGGGAACATTTCCCTCTTCAGTCCTTCCTCAGTTGTACAGTCTGCTCACTGATGCCCTCCTTAGTGATGATGCAGACCCGAAGAGCGTCTCCGGTGTAGACGTCTCTCTCTGCGGCCGAGATGAAGACATCTTTGACCAGCTGAATGGCTTTGTCCTGAGTCAGGGGAACGTGCTGCACACCCTCCATGTTCTTGAAACCAATCTGTAGAAGGACGTGTTGGGAAGAGAGCCAAGGCATGAATGTACCGTGTCCAAAGAAAGAAAACTCAACTGGCACACTACATTGTCTGCAACAACAGGTCAACATGTAGTGTGGCATTTACCTGGTTGTCCAGTAGTGGCTGTAGCATGGCACTTGCTGATCCTCCGGCCTTGTAGGTGTCTCTCTGGTAGGAGCCCACTGGGTCGAAACTGTACACCGCTCCCTTGCCTATTAGTATACGAGTAATGCACGTAAAAACAGTCATTACAAAAACATAGTCAGAGCTTTATATTACATCACAGTCATTTAGCAGACGCTTTTATCCAAAGCGACTTACAATTGAGAGTCTATGACATTTCTACACCGTAGGCACAGCTACGGGAGCAATTTTGGGGTTAAGTGTCTTGCTCAAGGACACATCGACATGCGACTAGCAGAGCCGGAGATTGAACCGCCAACCCTCTGATTGAAAGACGGCCCTGCTATCCACTTAGCCACAGTCGCCCCTGTATACAATTTCCATCGTAGACGCCACAAAAACACACTTAGTGTGATACAATGAAGCGCAATATAGGGAACAAGCTAGTTTTAGCTAGACCCTAAATATGCAGTTTTTTAAAAACCTCCAGAGTATATGCATACAAAAGTGATACCTTTACTCCTCTTAATGTGTGCTGCATTGCTACACCTACCATGCTCATCCAGTCCTCCAATGATGTTGTAGACGTAGTAGGGGAAAAACCTCCTGCCGTACAGGATGGTAGACAGCATGGCTGCAATGGCGCCGCTGGTCATCGTCTTATTATTTGAGTGTTTGTACATCTGAGAAAAGGACAGGAACATTGGTTCAGGTGTTAGTAACAACTAAGCCACCTGTGACATCTTCTGTGGGTCTCGTACGGCAGCAGAACTGAATACAGTGACACTTTAAGAGAGGCAACAAGGACGATGTCCTTACTGTTAATTAACTGTGGAGACAATGGACACAACTAGATAGATTTTTCTTGTTTAAAGACAGCAAGACACATTACAATATCAGTCTCATTTCGACCGTCTTGGATACCACTACAATCAACAGACAAGCAGCAGCAGGACAGTTAGCAGAGTCAGCAGAATAAGATCACTTTGAAAATGAGACTTGGGAGAGTGAAACCAAAAAAAACCTGCTGCACCAGCCCACCTTTAGTCTGGCATCAATGATTTTAGTCAGAGTCAAGCAGTCACCGTGGAAGCCGCTGCAGCCAATGACGGTTGTATCTGTCCTGTGAGGGGAAGCACAAAAATATGTGATGTTAGATCAGCGTGTTGTTTGTCTTGATTCATGTAGCAATAACACATTTTGATGATGCTTCCTTGAGAAGCACTACAGAAAGTTATTGAGCAGCAAGCAGGAACAAACTACACTCCCCATCTTAATAGAGAATTAGAGTGAGTTGAGCTGCAGTGACTTCAGTGGTTTCGCTCCATATTTACCTGGTAATGGCTTTCAAGGAATGTACAAAGAACTATGAAAGTAGTAGGTAGAGGGCCCAGTTATTGTTAGAAAAGTTGACATGGTGTCTTTATACTCTCGACTTTGCTTTTGTTGACAGTACAGGAGGTGACAGTGCACACTTACAGCTTGTAGCATTTCGGTGAGTCTCGGCTGTGGATTGAGTAGCCTTCACTCAGCCTGGTGTCTGAGGCTACGATGGCGAAGTCCTCCCCAGCAACAGCTAGTACGGTTCTGAAAAAAACAAAACACACGACACAGTTCATTCATCGTATAAACCACACCATCAAAGAGGGAAATGTTCCGTCTGTTTCACCAGACACATGCTAACGGAAGCTAAGCTACTGTTTCGAAACTGAAACTGTAGCATCAGTTTCTTTCCTTTTATCTAAAGTGAGGATACTTTATGTTCTGGACAAAGACAGTCTGCTCTGCTCGCGTACGTTTCAACAACTTAACCTTTGTTTAGTTGTATATCGCCTGCAAGCCGGCTAGCTAATTAGCACAGCCTACTAAACGTTAGCTAGCAGGCTAACCAGGCAACGGTTGAAATACCCCACTCACCCTCCGTTGAAGGAGTACGGAGAGAACCGGTGCTCCACCGGACCAGTATAGTGATAATCTCTCATCTTCCCAGGATCTGCCATTGTATGAGAGGAAAGCATTTTTGTTGCAGGAAGCCAACGATGTTCAAGATTGAGTCTAGTAAAGTCGCTGTATCACTGCAATATGGCCTTCTCTTCTTCTACTGTCATCACACCCGCGTGTTCACATGTGATCTGAGCGAGAGCGCCCCCACAGTCTGTGTGGTGTACCGCAGGACCTGATGCCAGATCTGATCTAGAGCAGATTTTTGTTTTTTAATGTCTCACATTCACTATTTATAAATAGGTCATTTTGTGTCCGTTAAAAAAAATTGAATAGATATTTGAATATGCACCAATTTTGCACCATCAGCAAAATCTAGATTTGCAGTTTGCTGGACTGGATGTGTTAAGATCAAAAATACCTGTAGGACATGTGATAACAATTTGTCTGTAATATAAATTAAATTACGTGCACAATACCCCAATAACAATAAAACATCATTAGGTGTCAGAAAACAATTTTTATAATTCTAATAATTTAAATTTCCAAGGACCATTAAAAGGTATTAAAGGTTTGTCAAATTAATACAATGTAAGAATGTAAAAATATAAATGACTTTAAATATCAAAGTAATTGATATTCCTTTTCACTAAAGATTGTTTTGATCTTTGGCATCAAAACTGGGATTCAATTTAACATGGTACACAATATATTTGGGATGACCAGGAGTATTTTAGTAGCTTTTATTTAAAAAAAAAAAAAAAAAAAAAAAAAAAAACACAATTCAGTGACTATGACATCAATACCAACAAATATGTCTTAAAAACTGCTTACTGAGAGACAATACAAAATAATATTTAAAAAAACAGAAAAAATATCAGTTATCTAATCATAGCTGATGGATGTTGAATTTCAATGTAATTACTGTGAGTGGTTACATTTTTGTATAATAATTAATAGTCGAGGGTTGACAACAAAATCTATACATGTTAAGTGAGACATAACCTTTCAGTAATCAAGACTAACAAATAAATACCTGCAGCCATGAGGTTGACCACAGCCAGCGTCTATTACATTTCATCACACAGAATCACAAGCACCGTGTTATCATTTAAGACAGTTTAAATAAGATTACTCTTTACTGGTGTGCCTCATTAAATACATGTTCATTTAAAGTACCAAAAATACAAAACCATACAAAAATGTTGTCTTGAAAGTAACTCAGTGAGCTCTTGTTTGTTTCAGTAGTACCGGATGAAAAGCACCATTTGTTAAACTGAAACTAATTTCCCACAGCAGAAATGTTGAGACAGAAACTACGAGATGAATCAGATTAATAAAGTAGGAATGCACTGATGCCGTTAGCGGTTAGCAGATCACAGGATTTGATGCAGCACATTTGGATGGATTTGACTTAAAGTTTGTCTCTTAACATTATTTCTGAATGATGTGAATGTCTACCATTACAAAACAAGAGTTGCTATGCTACGGTTAATGCCGAATCTGGATTATGTTGAGTACGTTTGAGGTATCTCATACATTATTCAAAGTTTGATTTGGAGATGGCAAGTAAATTCTGTGTTTAACTGATTGTGATTATAGGCCTTACAGATGTCATCAAAGCTCTCAGAGAAAAGATCAATACCTGTGTATTTGCAGACCTGTCAATCAATAAAGACCAACAGCAGGTTAAGATGTTGTGTTTGCATTGTTGGTATTTGGTAGGAGGGATACACTTTTGTTTATTTTTGAGTCACAGTGATCTGATGTCATCTAAAATGTATAGCTTCTGCAAATGAACAAATGCCATAATGTGTGTAGAGTTTGGTCACGGTATTGTGGTCAATGACGCTGTCGATCATTTCTGAGCCGACTTGGACTTCTTGGGCGTTTTCGCTCCTCCCTTCTTCTTGGGTGTGGTGAAATCTTTGTCGCAAACCTCACACACCCAAAGGCCTGAGGAGACAGAGATAATTAATTTATCAAGATACAAGAGACAAACAAAAATAAAAACCCACATTAAATAACAAAAACAGATAAACTAAGTGAATGACTGTAATTGACATTTTCTGTTGTACAAGTCTGCTTTTCTCTTGTAGTGTTTGTTGTCCAGTCACCGAGTGAAATAACAATCAAGACTGTAGTTCAAGTGGTTGTGTATTGGTCTGCCCACACCACAGATCGACTGTATGCTTGTGTGTTGTGCCCGTCCACTCACCAGTAGGTATGGAGTCCATGCCCACGCAGAACGTGTGGTACCCTCGGTCACATTTGTCACAGAACATCATCTCGTCCTCATGGTGGGGCTGCTGACACACGGTGCACGTCTTACATTCCATACACTGCCATCGGTAGGTCTGGATCACACCCACCAGCTCCTTGCTCATGTCCAAGCAGGACGGGTGGCCTAAAGTGTGCGGACACGGAGGCACACGCACACACACACACATAAATACACAACGTATGCGCACAGACATACATGTAGAATCTACTCACATCGATTTTAAAATAAAATTGTCGAGAACATTTAAAACATATATACTGTTTTTTGATCAGAACTATCTGAAAGCTAATAGCCATGACCAGCCTTTTCTCCATGTTGTCATAGCTGCCTGTACATTTGGGAATGTTGGACCCAGCAGATGAAGAACTTTGCAGACATTCCTATGAACCACTATGTTTTTGTCAATGCTCAGTCAGTCTAAATCATTTGAAAAGTGATTTATATACACATTACTTTAAACTATACACATTTTACTGTCTTAATGTAAACACACTCGGTGTATAAAGCAGGCAGTTTACACACTTGCCTGAAAGTATAAAACTTGTTTATACACAATGAAATGAAGTTGACTGGTGGTACAATAGAAAACTCAACATTTCCTTTACTGATAATAAATAGCAATGATTCATTAGTCAATGATAATCATTTTAATCATCGTTGAATTGTATGATACTGAGGTTAAGCGAATGAGTCAGAGGGATAACAGAAGTATGATACCTGCTTATGTTATAGTAATCATTGTATCTCGGGAGAATCACTTTACAATGAATTTACCCGGCGTTAAAAGTGAACACATTTAGCTGATATTGTGTCTGAAAACAAACAGGAAACGGTCCTTTAAGATGAACAGTGTTAACTTACCGCTGTTATCACATTGGGAGCAGTGAATGAGAGCCTCTGGCCGGCCCCTCTTGTTGGCCTCTTTGCCCTTCTGGCAAATGCCACATATAGCATTGGGAATGACCTTAGGCTGCAAGGGCAGAATAATGCTATAAAAAACACGTGTATCCTGTAGTCATGGACAACATATTAGTTAAACACATGTTTAATGCATGGAGAAAAAAAACAAACCCAAAAGGAGCATTTTTATCTTGACCAACGGAGGATTTTCTACAATTTGGGGGCACGCTACATGACTTATATGCTAATAATTTTACTTTATACACAAAATGCATCACATGGCATCAAAGCTGCTGTCCGACGTAGTCCGTTTTAAATGTTACCAACCTAATTCTTTGTTGTTTATTTAGTCTTTGTGGCAGGGAACAGCCCCAGTTTACTGGGCCTCAGAGCACCAAACAGAAATCGTCACAATAAACTGTAAAAAGGTCAAGTACCAGGACATTAAAGTACATCTCAAGGTACAAATACAAGAACGGTGTTTGGTGTCTAACAGACCCTCTTGCATGCATGTGGCATCTGTAATCTACAGCAGTTTTATTGTCACTGTAGTCAAGTGATGGCTTACTTGGTAGCAGATTGAATTAAAAGATCTTGCAGTTGCTTTCTATGCAACAGAGTTTTCAGTTGAACAGAGCAGAAAGATAAGGAAACGAGGGGACATTTAAATCAGGATGTCACAGAGATGAATGCGTTTAAAACATGAATTCCTCTTTAGGAAGCCACATTAAAACATGAAAGATTGAGCAAGATTTTATAATGTCTAGTCTTTAAGAGCATAAAATACATTTGTGCTAAGGTTTGTTTTACAGCAGTCATTGGAACAAAGTATTGTCACCAAAAATAACCAAATCTGAACTACGAAATTAACTTTGCTTTCCAGTAACTCATGAAGTTAACAGTCCATTTACTTTGAAAGCCTGAAGACAGTGACATCCTTCATTAAAATGTCCCCTCACAGGAAGTTAGTAGGTTACACTAAACAGCCACAGATAGAAGACTATGGGTCAATAGAGGACATGGTTTGGAAATGATGGAAACTGAAGACTAGAAACAAAGCAGAGATCTAAACTAATAGACAGACAGCAGCAGGAGAGAGAAATAAGAAACAATTAGAGCCGTGTAAATTTCCATACATGCTCACTATGCAAATATAAAGTCTCATCAATATTTCTACTTTAAAATTCAACAGTTCATACCGTTGGCCTCGCTGCATCACCGAAATCTTTAGTGAAAGGATTGCCCCCTGTTGCTGTTGACTCTTTAAAACTGTAAAAATGTATTTGTGGCCACATGAAATGCTTCCATTACAAGCAGTATGCAGCCAACACGTCTTTAAGTACGAGTCTGCTTGATGCCTGCACAGTCAAAACATGTCTTCAGTGGAAACATCCACACAGGAAAGTAGAACAGGAGCAGTTCATGAGGTTGAATCCCGTTTTATTCTAAATTATCTGAATTTGGTAAACACAAGAAATGCTGTATTTTATGCACATAAAAGACAAAAAAAAAAGAAAAAAAAAAAAAAAAAAGAAAAAACTGTCAGAGAACTCACTTTCAGGCGTGTTTGCTTTTATATGATCTGGTAGATAGTATCTATGGAGCCATATAGCTCTGAACATTATGTATAATTCAGACACAGGCATACATACTGAGACACAATTAAGTGGGAGCGTTATAGATCGGTAGATCATATGGTTTAAACATCATGTTTGTAGCTTTATTGAGATTTCTGTAATGTAAATAAGTGATGAGGTAATGCTGACCTCTTAGCTGTGTCTTAGCATATGCCTCGGCTAAATGCACATTATCTAATGAAAGTCTACTCAACCTTGCACCTCGCAGTGAAAACAATGGACCGCATCAATATCATTCAATATATCTGACATACTAAATAACAAATACTCTTTCTAAGAATCAAACCAGCACTGCACATTCTCAGGAAGAATAAAAGCGATATCAAGGGAAACACTGTTAAAGAACGCAAGTCATGTGATATTACTCTATGCAGCTGTGCAACACATTGAACACAATATTCTTATCTCCTAAATGTCTCCTCTGTGGATAAGCTACAGAAAGGCTGCTGAGCCACAGCTTTCAGAGGGATTCATTTCGTAGAATCGTTAACCTGAACAACATTAACATGTCCCGTTAATGTTGCAATATACATTTAACATGTTAACATGCAACATGTATCACATCGACACATTCTGAAAAAAAATACTGCTGCAGAGGCAATTAGTCGATCTAATTCCTTTGTGTTTCAGAATTAGTTTCTAATTCATGAGTTGTGTATGAAATACCACTCTGCTAATCACGAGGTCATTATTACCCACTGCACATACTGGAGACCAGAGCGAGGTAACGTTGATCGGCTAGCGATGTCTTGCTGTCACATGTGGTTTCTTTTGTGGAGAAACTGGTACATTTCAACTTTACAGGTATTGTACTTTGGCCGATTTACCAGAGCGACAATTGATCATAGTTGACTTTTGTATGCAGCATTTCCCTCAAATTAGAAATGCCTGAAGGTTATTACATCTCTATGTCCTATTGTGCTGGTCACAGAAACAGTACAGGGACATCATTTTACTGACTAACTCTAGTGAATTCTGGCTACCAACCTGCCATGCCATGTCTGCCAGCTCAAAAGCATATGCAAGATGATCTGATGACTTACGGTCGAATCAAACTTAAAACACACTTAAACTGGTAACAGACACTAGAAAAGGACCATGCCCACACCACAAAGCTGAGCTGAACTCAACTGGACCATCATACTCTCATGAACAATGATAGAGTATTAGAAAAATGAATCAAATATCAAGGTGTCAAGCACAGTGGGCTGTAGGGAACAAGTGGGACACTGAAATAATAATATTTCCCCATCTACAGTCCTTTGAACATTTAGATTAAATTCAAGGTATTTATTTAAAAACGCGGTGCCATGACTGGGTATAACGAAGGTAAGCTGATGTCGGGGTAGTCCAGCAGACTCACAACACAGACAGACATCACACAGACCACTTCTAGCTCAGCTCAGCTCAGCAACAGTGTGAACAAGGTCAGCATGTCCTCATCTCTCCAAGATGACATTATAAGGACAGCTGTTTGATAGGTATTAACAGATAAACAGTACATCACATGGTGTATAAAGAAAGCATATTATAATACCAATACACACTTAAAATATTAGGGTTAAGTGCATTCTACACTTAAGATAAAATGTTTAAATTCTCTAGTGTTAACATCAACTACTTCTTAAAAGCAACCACACATTGAATGTGGTTTATATTTTCTATATCAGAGTAACAAGACTTTTCTTTTTAAAAAAGGAAAAAGGAAAACTAGCAGCCAAAACATCCGCTTACTTGTCTAGGAAGTATCTTTTTTTTTGACAAGCGAGGACAGACAAGAGGTATATTGAAGACAATCAAAACGAAAAACTTTTAAGGTTAAAATTAGTCTTCGCTGAAAAAACAAAAAAAAGTGAAAGTGCAGGGAAAAAGAAACATCCTTTAAAATGTTCTTATTGCTCACAGTCTGGTACAAAGAGGGGAAAAAGCCACCGGGCAATCAGAACAAAAACTGGACACAGGACCCCCAAAGTGTGACTCTGTGTGTGTATATGTGTGTGTGGGCCAGGTTGTCCCAGCTATAAAGCTGACCAACGGTAGAAGCTGGAGAACAAAGTGAAGAAAGCTAGGGAGGGGTGGCGGGATGAATGGAGTAAGGGAGTGGTAGTAGTAGAAAGAGGAGGAGGGGGTAGAAAAGTGCTGCTGCTGTTGTTGGAGAAGAGTTCAGGTGCTTTTGTCCTCTACCTTGTACCCTGGGGTGACTTTGTGGGAGGCAGATTGGCGCTGGCTGCCGTCTTTTCCCGGCGTGGATGTCCTGTCTTTGGCTTTGGACTTGTGGCCCGGTCTCCCTCCTCCCTCTTGGCTCTCCACGTCTGACGGGTTGCCTGAAGAACTGTCCTGTAGACAAACAGAAGAGGAAGGAGAAAGAGTGAAGGACAAGGGGGCTTAAGAGTGATGAACAATAATGTATTTCCATGTAGATATCCAAGTCAAGATTAGTAGGAGTAAATCATGCAAAACAGACGTCTACAATTAAGCATCTGCACCAGTAATTCAAGATAGACGTGTGATCTGACTCATATGGGCTACTAGAGTAGCTGTACACAGCCGAACGTCTTACAGATGAGTTCTTGTTCTTTTTGTCACCCTTGGCCTCCTCAGCGTCATCCGAGTCTGGTTCGGAGTCCAGCGCAGGGAGCTCTGGGTCCAGTGGAGGCTCAAACAGAGCTGTGTTTAATGGCAAGTACCGCAGCTCATTGGGAGAGTACCTGTCATGCACAACACAATGTTGCATCAGGGCAAAACATTCAGCACGGTAAAATAAATAAATATACACATACACACACACACACA